GCATAGCATACCATAGCAGAGCCATACAAAGCAGTATGTTTCGCTCATAAAACACACACAGTTAACCCTTTGATCACCCACATGTTAACCCCTTCCTGCCCAGTGCCATTAGTACAGTGTCAGTGCTTTTTTATTAGCACTGATCACTGTATTAGTTTCACTAGGGATGGCAGTGGCAGTTAGTTATCTCCCCCCCCCCCCCCCCCCCCCCCCCCACCAGTTTGCCCCCCCCCCCCCCCCCATTGTCAGAATGCCTGCCGCAGTCCCGCTATAAGTCGCTAATTGCCACCATTACTAGTATAAAAAAATAAAAATTGGGATTTTTTTTTTTTTTTAGCAAAAACATGAAGCAGAATACATTTTGGCCTAAATTTATGATGAAATTGGATTTTTAAAAAAAAAAAAATTACTGGTTATGTTTTATAGCAAGAAGTCAAAAATATTGTTTGTTTTTGTTCAAAATTGTCGGTCTTTTTTTGTTTATAGCGCAAATAATAAAAACGCACAGGCGATCAAATACCACCAAAAGAAAGCTCTATTTGTGGGAAAAAAAGGACATAAATTTAATTTGGGTGCATCATCGCATGACCGCGCAATTGTCAGTTAAAGTAAAGCAGGGCCATATTGCAAAAAATGGCCTGGTCTGCGGGGGGGGGGGGGGGGGGGGGGGGTAAAATGCTCTGGAGGGCAAGTGGTTAAATAACAAACACATCATACTTGCCTGCTCTGTGAAATGACCCGTACCTGCTATTCTGCGGGCTCCTTCTTCAGGTGCCGGCGCTGGATCAAAGGAGGGCTCAGGCAAGTATAAGGGGAAGGGGGGGAGGGGTCGATAATAATACATAAACATTTTATTTACCTTATTGCATTAAAGGTAGAAAATGTTTAGGCTTTAGAGCCACTTTTAGACATACGTCTGACCATTTTGTGTGTGGGACATTTAGGATATTGAGCACCATCCACCCAAGAATCCCAAACATTTTGAATTAAAGCGTATGTATAACTTTTTTAAAGTTGTACTAGGAAAGGTTTAAGACCCTTAACAGGTTTTTTCTTTTTTGCTGCCTGTGTCCCGCTGGGGAAAATTCTCTTCGCCTCTCTGAAGAAATCTCTCACTCAACTCAAAATATTTCCCTTCACTTTCTTTCTTTCTGACAATCATCACCAGGACAAATAGAGGGGTACAGGAGAAAAAACATTTGACCAAGAGTCTAACTCAGCTGTTTTCTAAACGTTTTTACCCCAGAGGAACCCCTAAAATAATTTTCAGAGAACCCTTACTAGAGCCAATTCATCAGGGGGCTGATAGGGAAAATCCCTCTTACATTGGTGGCCAGTAAGAAGAATGCAACCCTTACAGTGGAGATCGTAGTGCCAGACCTAAAGACAGCTAAAAAGATAATTGGTGCCATCCTGCTTTTTTTTCCTAAATAGCATTGGCCCAGGGATTATGCAAGTACCATCAAATGGGAGGGCAATAAACCACAGCCCAAGGAACCCCTAGCAACCTCTGGAGGAACCCAAGGATTCCATGGAATCCTAGTTGAGAATGGCTGGTCCAGGGGTGGACTGACCATTTGGATACTTGGGCACTGCTGAGGGCCCAGGGATCAGTAGGAGGCCCCATGAGATGCCCCTGGTACCTTTTTCATAGGCTTTTTTGAGTTTGGGCAAGGACACAGGGGCCCCATGATCCCCTATTGAGTTGTCAGTCCACCCCTGGGCTGGTCTAAACCTTTCCCACTCAAACCAAACCGAAAAAAATGCCTTAGCAATGAAGATATCTATCCACACAAAACTGATGCTGTACATGTTGCTGTATAGTTTAAGTACTCTTATACAGAGAAGGATATGTAGACTGTCATTTCTGAGTTTTCTGATTTATGAGTTTTCCTATTCACTAATTTGGACAAACATGCACCTATTAATTTCCAAGCAAAGCCAGAACTTCATGTTTGGGTCAAGCAATTATCAAAGGTAATAAATTATCAAGAGATATTAAATACGTATTTTCCGGTGGATGCGTGGTGACGTCACGTCCGTGAGTGGAGCGCATGTTGGTTTGCGGCGCTCCGGAGTGACTTCCTGCCTTCATTAAGGGGAGATTGTGAACTTGTATTACCTACTGCCAGTCCACTTTCTCAAAGGAGGATTTCATATGGATTTGAGCCTTATTATGAGTCTTTAAGCGTGAATATAATGTGTATCATGTGAGTGCATTAAGGGAAACATTTTTTAGAGAGTTGTATACAGTATTCACTATTTGTGTTCTTTATTTGTTTTTCATTGCCATCTAATCGTGGAAATCCTTTTTGGAGGATATGAAGTGCAGATGTATCTGGGGAGGATATACCCCGTCTTTAAAGCTTGTTTGACTCTTTAGCCATATCATTAGAGTCCACTCCATTTGGTGAGTGGGGATTGGATGGTGTGAGCATATTTTTTTTGAAGAATTTGTTGAGCACTATTTTTTGGGATTGGAGCATTTTCTTATATATTTTTTGGGACTTTTCTTTGGACTTTTTACACATTTAATATATTTTTTGCGCTGTGAAGTGTTTATATTTATATTTGATTGTTTTTTTTTCCTTTCATGAGCAGCAGCATTTAGGTTTGGATTATATTATATATATTTTTTTTCTTCCTTTGGCAACAGGTTTATTTTAAATTATCAAGAGAGCCCGACAGTTTACATTTCCAGAAGTCAGCAATGAGAGTCTCGAAATTCCCCTCGGTACAATTCCTTTAACCCCCGCTAAAAAAATTTTTATTGGAGTTCCAGACTCTGCATACATACTGTGACCATTAAGAGAAGTTGGTGATAGAGTATACATCGCTGGGGAGGATCCTGTGATAAACCTGAGTGGTGTCTGTTTCCAAAAGCGAGCTGACCCTGTAGGGTCTATTTAAGGAGGTGAGGGGCCATTGCAGCTATTTTTGGATACACACAGGGTGGACACTTGATATCACCTGCATGAAGATTGTGTATTGGACACACTATATATATATATATGGACATGTTCACAATGAGTGGAGATTTGCATTAGAGTGTATTGTGATATACTGTTTGTTTTGGTCACTTGGTCACTTTGATTATTCCCGTAGGGAATACACGGATTGCACTTTATTGAATATATTTGATCACTTGGTCACTTTGATTATTCCTGGAGGGAATACACGTGTTACACTTTATTCAATTAATACTGTATTTGCACGGTTGCACTTTTATATGATATATATTAATTTTGTATTTATTTATATATATATATTTACTTTAGATTTATGGTTTAGCGCTGCACTATTTATTTATTTATTTATTTATTGTATTGGACTCACATTGGTAGGAGGTTAAGTGTCAGCAGCTATAGGGATAGGGCCTCATTCTTAGCGCAGGAAGTCGTTTTATAATTTATCATTAAGAGAAGTTACCACACTCTTGTTGATGATGTTACCTATTTAGTAATATGAAAAATGCAAGTGGAGATGCTGAAACACATGAAGATCGGTGGGAACACCCGGAACTCCTTGGTGGCCAGGAACTTTGTAAGAAAAGAGAGGAGAAAGGCGTCTCTAAGTGTAAACTGTAAAAACTTGATTTATTGCACATGGAAGACAGCAACGTAAAGGAGGGTAGATAAAAAAGGCACTTCAATATCCATCAATGGGGTCCCAACACCATCAGCTTGACAAACGAGTGCGGTAGAACTACCATCTCACAGTGCATGATCAGGAAATGCGTTGCATGATGCCCGGTGACGTCATCGCGCACACGCTGCGCTCCACGGTGCATTCCAAGTCTTGATGCCAGACCTCTTCCATCTTGCTGGCCGCTCATGCCTGACACTGAGAGATGACAGATCATCATCCTGGACTGCACACTATGCCGTTCACTGTGGCTAAAACCCCATTGTTGGATATTGAAGTGCCTTTTTTATCGACCCTCCTGTAAGTTGCTGCCTTCCATGTGCAATAAATCAGGTTTTTATGGTTTACACCTAGAGGCACCTTTCTCCTCTCTTTTCTTACATGTATCCTTTTGGACAAAGGGCGGACTGACCATTTGGAAACTCGGGCACTGCCCGAGGGCCTGGGGTCAGTAGGGGGCCCCATGAGATGCCCCTGGTACCTTTTTCATAGGCTTTTTTGAGTTTGGGCAAGGACACAGGGGCCCCATGATCCCCTATTGCCCGGGGGCCCCATGAGTTGTCAGTCTGCCCCTGTTTTGGACCCAAGCTTCAATCCAGCGAAAGGCTGCCATAGGTGAACAGGACTACAAATATGATTCTTGGCTGTACACCTGTCAGCGGTAGCTTGACATTACATCCACTATTTATTATTTTTTTATCTCTATAACCTGATTGGGCTCCATTTGCTTGGTATTTATTCATAAGTATTTTTTCCTGCCTATTGATGTTTCTTGGTACTCCTGTTTGTGTTTTTACCCCACCCCTAGATCATATATAGGTTGCGCTCTTTTCCTTTTGTTTTTTCCTTTGGGCTCAGGAACTTTGGCAGGGAGAGTGTGCTCTTGGAATATCCAAGACTTTAAAAAGCCAGGGGTGACTCGGATCACCGGTCTCCATCTACAGCTAGTAGGGATGAGGTTTGGGTTTAGTGACACCAGGGGATTACTGTAAATGCCCCTTTGGTCAGAAAGTGTGCAAGTTCACCACCAGAAATAAGGGACAACCTATAATACAGTATAAAGCCTTTGTTCCTGGACAGCTGAGTCACAAGAACCAGTATTGTGAAGAAATGGATAACTCAACTTCCAAAGCACAAAACAGCCTCATTATCAGGGTTTGTCAATTCTGTGTGAGGAGGGATACTTTTTTATTTTTGATTTAAAGCTCAATTCCAAGAAGAACAAAATGTATACTTAATCTTTAACCCTTCTTGGGGTACAGACAGGGTTTCTGCTATTTTATCATCATTTCTCTGCCCTTCCATCTGGTCAGCAGCACCTTGGTCTTGTACAGCAGAAATGTTATCCATCACACCAGTCCTCTGGGGTGCCATTCATACCAAAAAATTACTGGAAAGCAGCCTAGTAGTGAAGTGCGAGATCTCTTTTATTACTATTAAATATTCACCTTTGCTTATTATAGCCTTTAACACATGGCTCCAATTATTGGTACTCCACAGTGCCAGCCCATCAATCTGAGGAGAGGACACAGAGGTATGGAACATGTTGTATACAGTAGAACAAAGAAGTATAGAACATTGCTGAACATTCAGCCATTTTCACATTTAGAGTATGTCTGTCATAAGATGGAACCCCCACATCCACAATTCAAATCTTGGGGACCCTCATGTGGTTGAGCATGTGGGGAGACTTATTCTTATAGAAACGTCCTCAGAATTGGAGGTATTCTTGTCCATAACCTACACAATAGCCTGATTCTTTTCCAGATCATTGTTCTGCATCTTATCCACTTGTAGCACCCTCCTAGTTTAGCTAGGGGGAGCTAGTGTTTTAATTCTTAGTGGGGTCGGCTGAGTAGTAGCCTGGGTGTTATAGCCAGAAGGTCAAATTGTGGTCAGGAGCTGAGAGACTCTGCAGGTCAGCCCCTCTGGAATTTCCCCTGCTCTAGGGCTTTTGAAGGAAGGCCCTAGAGGCAGTGGGTGGATCTGAGGAATGGCTGGTTGCACTCTGGAGGGACCTCAACAAATCCCGAACAGGGTGGGAAAGGGGCTGGGAGACCTTTAAAAGCGTTGGACTCTGTTCAGCGGCAGGAGAGTGGAGGGTGGAAGATAGAGAGGAGGATGTGAGGCTAAAGGAAGGAGGCTGTGAGCAGGTCCAGTGGGATGGGGCTGATCTGCAGGCCTGGAGCTGGAAAGAGGAAAAGCTCAAAACTCACCAGCCCCTGAGAGAGGACCACCTGTATGGCAAGGAAGGAGCCGCCCAGCTGATAGGCTTGTAGAGAGATTGTGCACTCACCAGATGCACAATGTAAATGTGCATTAAGAAAAATCCTCAGAAGCCTCCTTTAGGGTCTGGTCTGGGATAAGGGAAGATGTCCTCCCTCTAGGTGGTTGGTCTGGTCAGGAACACACGAAAAAGATCCTCCCTCTAGGTGGGTGGTAGTGATGGAAGCACACAGGATGGTAAGAAAAAGATCCAGATGGCCAGGGGTCCCCTTACGGAATTGGTTGATGTAAGTTTTCTGGGTACAAGATCTCCCTTCACTGGAATCCTTAATGTTGCTGGATCAGGCAGGTGCTATGAATAAATAACTCCAGGAAGTACTCATAGTGTAGTAATTAATGAGTATATCATTTATTAAAGAAAGTAACCATGGTAAAAACAAATGAAACAAATAAAATCCACTTAAATGAATGTAGATGAAAATAGCAGTATGCAGCACAATGAGCATTGCAGAGTATGACAGCAGTGTGCATCGGACTAACCGTCCAAAAAGCAAGATGGCCTCCGGGCCTACACGTGGCACCGGTGGCTTAATAACATGGCGTCTTGGCCTCTACTGACGCGTTTCGTGCGCACGCACTTCTTCACAGGTAGAGGCTGAATGGCGCCATGATCGTAAGGTTGGCTATTTATATACGGAAAATGGCACATGTGCAATGAATATGCGCCATTTTACCGAAGACCGGCACGCGTTGGTCTTCAGTAAAATGGCGCATATTCATTGTGCATGCGCCATTTTTTAAAAATCACCGTTCTTGTGATCATTTTGACCCCACGGGGTGAGATCTTGCGTGGAGCCCCAGATCGAGGGAGATTATCAGTGGTCTTGTATGTCTTCCATTTTCTAATTATTGCTCCCACAGTTGATTTGTTCACACCAAGCTGCTTGCCTATTGCAGATTCAGTCTTCCCAGCCTGGTGCAGGTCTACAATTTTGTTTCTGGTGCCCTTAGACAGCTCTTTGATCTTCACCATAGTGGAGTTTGGAGTGTGACTGTTTGAACTGGTTATCAGTATAAAAGACACCTGTCCGCAGCCTCAAACAGGTGCCATTGATACAGGTAATGAGTGCAGGACAGAGGAGCCTCTTAAAGAAGAAGGTACAGGTCTGTGAGAGCCAGAAATCTTGCTTGTTTGTAGGTGACCAAATACTTATTTTCAACCATAATTTGCAAATAAATTCTTTCCAAATCAGCCAATGTGATTGTCTGGATTTGTTTTCTCATTTTGTCTCTCATAGTTGAGGTCTACCTATGATGCCAATTACAGGCCTCTCTCATCTTTTTAAGTGGGAGAACTTGCACAATTGGTGGCTGACTAAATACTTTTTTGCCCCACTGTAGTTAGTCTGGCTGAAAAAAGACAAAAGTCCATCCAGTTCAACCATAGGAAGAAAAAAAAAGTTAGAATCCTATACCCACAGTTGATCCAGAGGAACGCAAAAAGCCCAGCAAAGCACAATCCAATTTGCTCCTGCAGGGGAAACAAAATTCCTTCCTGATCCCCCGAGAGGCAATCGGATATTCCCTGGATCAACTTTAGGTGCAGGGAAGGGTCAAAGGGTCAACTAGGATGCTGTGTAGGCAGCTGACATCCTCCTTATCAACTGATGATGTCATTGGTTGGTCAGGATTCTGACGGCTAGAAGGTCGTAATGGCGCACAATGAAAACCTGTGGCTTTGTGTAACTAAAAGGCAGGCTCATTCCACCTGCTGGCTTGTATAGAAGTTTTGGGCAATTTTTAGAAATTTTGCCAAGGCACCCTGAAGGAACCTCAAGGCACCCCAGGGTGCTTGGGCACCCTGCTTGAGAAAGGCTGCTCTATCCTATGACTGTGAGAATTTCAGCTTGGCTTTGTAGCAAAGCTATAATTTCCACTAATCAGAGAAGTTGTATAGATTGGATCAACTTTACCATATGGATGAAGATAAAATGGAGGTTTTCTGTATAAGGTGGAAAAAGTGGGAAGAATTTAAAAAGTCAAACATATACAGTGGGGATCGAAAGTTTGGGCACCCCAGCTAAAAATTTGTATTAATGTGCATAAAGAAGCCAAGGAAAGATGGAAAAATCTCCAAAAGGCATAAAATTACAGATTAGACATTCTTATAATATGTCAACAAAAGTTAGATTTTATTTCCATCATTTACACTTTCAAAATAACAGAAAACAAAAAAAATGGCGTCTGCAACAGTTTGGGCACCCTGCAGAGTTAATATCTTGTACTGCCCCCTTTGGCAAGTATCACAGCTTGTAAACACTTTTTGTAGCCAGCCAAGAGTCTTTCAATTCTTGTTTGAGGTATCTTTGCCCATTCTTCCTTACAAAAGTCTTCCAGTTCTTTGAGATTTCTGGGCTGTCTGTCACGCACTGCTCTTTTAAGGTCTATCCATAGATTTTCAATTATGTTGAGGTCAGGAGATTGTGAAGGCCATGGCAAAACCTTCAGTTTACGCCTCTTGATGTAATCCCCCGTGGATTTCGAGGTGTGTTTAGGATCATTATCCATTTGTAGAAGCCATCCTCTCTTTAACTTCAGCTTTTTCACAGATGGCATCAAGTTACCATCCAAAATTTGCTGAAATTTTATTGAATCCATTTTTTTCCTTCTACTCGTGAGATGTTCCCTGTGCCACTGGCTGCAACACAACCCCAAAGCATGATTGATCCAACCCCATGCTTAACAGTTGGACAGAGGTTCTTTTCATTAAATTCTGTGCCCCTTCTTCTCCAAACGTACCTTTGCTCATTCCGGCCAAAAAGTTTAATTTTAACCTCATCGGTCCACAGAACTTGTTTCCAAAATGCATCAGGCTTGTCTATATGTTCATTTGCAAAGTTCAAACAATGATTTTTGTGGTGAGGACGTAGAAGGTTTTATTCTGATGACTCTTCCATGAAGACCATATTTGTACAAGTATCTCTTTATAGTGGAATAGTGTACCACAACTCCAGTGTCTGCCAGATCTTTCTGGAGGGATCCTGCAGTCAAACATGGGTTTTGAATTGTTTTTTCTCACAATCCTGCGAGCTGTTCTGTCTGATATTTTTCTTGGTCTTCCAGATCTTGCTTTAACTTCCATTGTTCCTGATGACTGCCATTTCTTAATTACATTCCGAACAGAGGATAATGACATCTGAAAATGCTTTGCTTTCTCCAGCTTTGTGAGCGTCAAGTATTTTCAGTTTCAGTTTTCTAGACAACTGCTTAGAAGAACCCATGGTGCTGATTGTTGGGGCAAGGTCAGATGAGTCTGGGCATTTAAAACCTTTGAGATTGACATCACCTGGTTTTCCCAGACGATGATTGAGAACACAATCCATGACACTGGCAGGTCTCAGCTTGGCAAAGGGGGCAGTGCATGCTATAAATTCTGCAGGGTGTCCAAACTTTTGCAGACGCCATTTTTTTGTTTTCTGTTATTTTGAAAGTGTAAATGATGGAAATAAAATCTAACTTTTGTTGACATATTATAAAAATGTCTAATCTGTAATTTGATGCCTTTTGGAGATTTTTCCATCTTTCCTTGGCTTCTTTATGCACATTAATACAAATTTTTAGCTGGGGTGCCCAAACTTTCAATCCCCACTGTACCTAGAATATGTGCAATAGAGAAAAAAAAGTCTTGGGGGATAATTGCATTATTATAGTAGTAGTATTCTCGGAATAGGAACTATAGATGGAGTAGAAAAATGCAGAATCAAGGCTGAGTGGGGTGGGGAGGTATGGGATATGGGGTAAGGAGGGAGATGAAAGGGAGAGGGGTAAAACGTTACCAAGATTAATGTTAATATTTTGATATAATGCCAGACAAATCAGAGTATGTTATTTTGTCTGTTTTATTAGCTTTTGTATACATAAAATGGTAATTTGTAAATTAATAATAAAATATTTAAATAATAAAAAAATAATAATTTCCACTAATCAGAGAATTGTCTTTAGGTTTCATAGCCTCTTGACCAGGGTTGCCCAAACTTTTGCCTTTCCTGGGCCACATTGGAAGAAGAGGAATTGTCTTGGGTTACACATAAAATAAACAATAAGGATAGTTATTGGGCAGAAAAAAAAATCGGGCAGATCACAAGTTACTGA